GGTCTGGATTTGAGTGGGAAATGTATGAAATTTTAAAAGCTCAATAAAAAAGAAATATTTGGAGGATTATTTACTTTTACTATTTTAAGTTCCAAATAAGAAACTAAGTTCAAAATGCATAGGCATGGAAAATATCATTCAGTCTATATTCTTTTTTTTTTTTTTTTGGTTATTATTATTATTTTTTGACACAGCTGGCCTGGAACTCACTACCAAGACCAGGCTGGCCTTGATCTCACAGAGATCTACTTGCCTCTAGATGTGTGCCCACTAAACTGGCTTTATTATATATATATACACACACATTTTTGGGGGGGTCTTTTTGAGACAGGGTCTCCCTGTAGCCCCAGCTGGCCTTAAACTCACAGAGATCTTCCTGCCTCTGCCTTCCGAGTGCTGGAACTAAAGCCGTGCACTACTACACCCAGCTTTATTTATATGCTTTTTGTGTGTGGTGGTGGTGGTGGTGGTGGTGTTGGTGGTGGTGGTGGTGGTGGTGTGTGTATGTGTGTGTGTGTGTGTGTGTGCCTCTCTGCTGGAGGTCACATGGGGGTGCCGTTCCTTAAGCTCTTCCCACCTTATTTTTGAGATGGGGGCTGTTACTGATTCTGGAGTTGCAGATGCTGTTGTGCCTGGTTGTGTGGGTGCTGGGTCCAATCCCAGGTTCCCAGGCTTGCACAGAGCACTGTACAGCCTTCACCATCTTCCCAGCCCTCCCCACTTCTCTGTTGTCCCTGCCGCTTCTGCCATTTCTGTGCTGTTCTTTGTATGTATCTTTCTAGGAGTCAGATTACTGGTAGTTCGATTAGTAGTAAGAATTAAAATACAGTTCAAGGCTGGACATGGGCATGCATACCTTTAATCCCAAGTGGTAGACAGAGGTAGGTGGATCTCTGTGGATTTGAGACCAGTCTGATCTATGTAGCATGTTCCAGGCCAGCCAGGGCTACATACAGAGACTCCATCTCAATAAACAAAAAGTAAACAAACAGAATTCAAAGAAGAAAGACTTTTTTGTGTGTATGTGGCAAGAGCTCCAGGTAATAACCTTAAACTCTGGATCCCCTCTCCTTCTACCTGCTGACTGCTGAGAGTACAGGTGTGTGCCACACCTAACTTGGAACAGTATTTACTTATATTTAAGTTTTTCCTCCCTTCCTTCCTTCCTTCCTTCCTTCCTTCCTTCCTTCCTTCCTTCCTTCCTTCCTTCCCTCCCTCCCCCCAGCCTCCCTGCCTCCCTCCCTCCCGCCCTTCCTTCCTCCCTCCTTCCCTTCTCTCCCTCCCTCCTTTTTTTCCTCCCTCTCTCTTTTGAGAAAGAGTCTTAACTTTATCCCTGGCTGGTCTGGAACTCATGTAGACCAACCTGCCCTGTAACTCCTAGATAGCCCCCTGCCTCTGCCTCCCAAGTGCTGGGATTAAAGCTGTGTGCACCACACCCGACTCTAAAACATTTATTTATTTATGATATGTGTGTGTGTGTACATGCACACGCATGTACACATGTGTAGTAGTGTGCAAGTAGAGGTCAGAGATAACTCGGAAGGGTCGTTTCTCTTCCACTGCCATGTGAGTCCTGGAGAGGGAACTCAGGTCACCAGGCTTGGTGGCAGGCACATTTACTTCCTGCGCCATCTCGCCTGCCCAGTAGGGCATTTTCTTTTTCTTTTTAAGTATAGAGTTTTGCTGGGTGAGGTGACATATGCCATTAGTACCAGCACTGGGGAGGAAGAGGCAGGCATGGCTCTGTAAGTTCAAGGCTAGCATGGTTTATATAATGAGCTTCAGGCCAGTTGGAGACCCTGTCTCAAAAAGACCAAAAAATAAATAAATAAATAAATTGTGTGTGCACGCGTGTGTGTATTCTTATGATTCTGTCGCTATTTTACCTTGATTTTAGACTTTTTAGATAACAGCAGATTTTGAATTAAACTGATGCATTTAATGACTAGCTTGTGAATTGATTGTAGTTCATTTTTTGTGTAATGTGCTATGAAATCATCTAGTGGCTTTTATTTTAAAAATCACTTAATGAGACTCACTTTTAAAAAAATTGATTATTTAACAGCACTATTCCAGGCATACAGAAAATTTGGATACGAACATGGAGCTGCTCACATAATAATTCAGATGGAGAATACATGGCTGGACAGCTCGCCGCTTATGGCTATAAAATTACAGGTAATGAGATTCATAATGTGTTTTATTGATTAAAGCTTCAGTTTCAGGTTTTAGAGCTCGGTGTTCTAGCTCCAGCAGTTGAAGGCTATTTTAGTGAAACTTCATGACTGGAAGGCCAAATGGTGACAGGTGCCATGC